ACCTTTTATTTTCCATTTAAAAATAGTATATAGATTTTAAATAACTATATATCTTTGCTGCTATAAATTAACTGAAATTTTTAAAGAATTTAAAAATTCATTATTCTCATTAAAGTTTTAAAAAAATAAAACAATTCTTATAAAAATTCATTATTCATTGAAAATATTCTATAATAATATAAATATTTTTACTGTACATAATATATTCATAAAAGTAATTAAAATATTTTCTAAATAAAAGCATCTTAGATTTTGTTGTAATATAATTATGGGCGATAAATGGTATCCCCCATTCACATAAATACAATAGTAAATACTGTATGTTGGTCTGCAGTTGGAGTCGTCTCCAGCTGTTCTGGTCAAACTCTGTGCCTCCGACCAGAGAGAAACATCAGACGAGCCTACGTTGAGGGGAAGAGTCTCGTTCCGGGAAACAACTACCTGACCCCGTTTTAGACGAGGTCTACGGAGAAGTTTTGGCCTGGCCCACAGGCTACGATACAACACATTAAATTCAGCCTTGTGCCACATTTGACCGCGTGGGGCGGTTGGTAGATATCCTTCAGCTGAAGATTTCTTGTGGAATTCACTTGATTCACTTCTAGCAGTTGCGTACATCCACGCGCCGCTGGCGAATCTTATATGTTGTTCTTGTCCGAAATATTATCGTTCATTACCAACCTTAATGTGATTATTCTATTCAAAAACCTTCGCTAGGTTACAACACTTTTATTGCTTTTATTATTTTACGATTAAGTTTTTCTTCAACTTAGGATTCTTTCTGACCAAACAATTTTGGTGATTTAAACTCTTTAATGATTTTGTCCTGAATAAAAGTATATATGTATGTATATACAGTGCTGTTCGATAAAAGTGACTCACCTGATTTTTTTTCGCCTATTGTTTTTGGGGTCAAACTAATTTTTAATCTATTGATAATTATAATTTTGGATATAAATGAGATTTAGGGAAAAACTCTGTGCAAAAAAAAGTGACTCACTGATTTCCTGCAACTAGTAATCAATAGAAACATAACCGAACAGATTTAAATAAAGAATAATAGATAATTTATTTATAATAGGTAATATAGTTCGAAATATTTAATAATCAATGCGTCCTCCTTTATTTTGAATAGCCTTTTCAACCCTTTTTGACATTGACTTGATTAGGTTCTGGCAAATCTAATCTCCAAGCATTGTATTCCATTCGGATATGAAATTCACCATCAAATCCTCCTTGTTACACAACTGCTTTCTCAAGATCCTTTATAATGCTCCATAAGTTTTTTATGGAGTTGAGGTCAGGAGATTGGGGCGGTCATGTCATAACACTCACCTGTTTCTCATCAAAGTATTTCTTCATCAATTTTGATTTGCGACAGAGAGCATTATCCTGCCTAAAATGAGCTTGGTGAGGTCGATTTGCACCCTTTCAGCAGAAGGGAGCAGAGAAGACTCTACTATTCGCTTGTACTGCTCGCTCCTGAGGGTCTTTTTAATAGGTTTTAAGAAACCAGTTCCATGAAAAGAAAAGCATCCCCAGAACATTATATTGAACGGATGCTTGACAGTACTTACTGCTAAATTCAAATAGCATTTAAAGCTTCTTCTTCGGATTTTAGATCGCTTATCCTTTGAATTTAGCTCAACTTCCGTTTCATCGGGGAAGAGAACATTTAGTAAAAAAAATCAGGTGAGTCACTTTTATCGAACAGCACTGTATGAATACATTTTGAGATACAAATAACATTTCTCGACATTTCATGAAAATTTAATGATTTGGGAAGTAGCATATTATTTTTTTCTAAATAAGACCATTTTTATTCATTTGTTTAATATATCCTGAAAGTTACATTAAAATGAAACAATAATTTGATGTTCGAAAGAATTTCAAAATCAGTGTTTTCGACACACCAAAAATAAGACTTTTAATTAATTGTTCTATCGTTCTAAAAAGACAATACACTTCAATATCCTTCCATCTTTCCTTTTAATAATTAAAATCTTATTTTTATGCATGCTAGGAATTGTTTTCATCATGTGTTCAGTCCTGGGTATGACGATAAACTACGTCCAACACGAAGGCCACTGATCAGGAGGTTTTGAGGAGCGTGGAACCACCTCTCAGTTAATGGTGTTGCCAGATCCACTCTGACTCGGGGTGGTAGCACTTGTTAGGGTACCAGCTATGAGCAAATAGTTAACCCCCAAACTGGGATCAAACTGTAAAAATAGGTTTTAATACCAGAAATATGTAAAAATTATTACTTGCAATAAATTTTGGAAAAACAAACATTACTAGAAATATACATTTTCCAATTGAAAAAAAGTAACAATCTATATATTTCTTTGTAAAAAATGAAGAAAAAAAATATTACGAGCGAGATATATTTGAAAAAAAATTCGTACCAGGAATACATTTTTTGTAGAAAAAATATTGCTATAAATAGATTTTTTTGAAAGAAAAAATATTACCAGAAATAGATTTTTGAAAAAATATT